TCTAAACTATTTTATAAATAAAACATGTCTAAAATTTTTAATAAAAATCTTGCCGAAAATATATTATTCAATTTCCAGAAGATGATGATAAGTATAAATTTGAATTTTAGAATCCACGTGAGTATTATTCTTTAGATCCGTGTACTATACAAATTATTCATTATGTTAATTTCCTGTGAACTCATATTGATTTATTGATTTTATTTTATTTCTATACAAAGTTGATCGTCTCATTTTATTTTACCATATTTTCTTTGAGATTTAACAAAGTTGATTGCATTTATAAAATGATTTGGACATCAACATACAATTTATAATAGAGTTTCAAAATTGTGTACTTAACAAATAATATATTATCATTAAATATATTTTTTTAAATGCATAATTATTGAGACTGATAATTTGATAATTATTTTACCTTTTGAAACTGAGTATAGAAAAAACAATAGATTGGTAAACAAAGAAGTGATAAACATTACCAAGTTCATTATCATACGTTCCAAATAAAAAAATTGTGATGATTAGTGGAAAATGATATTTAACGAACAACATTTAATATTTTTTTTTGAAAGGCATAAATTTTTGAATTGAGATTTTATAAATATAGAGACTGAGATTTTAATGTTCTTTGTTGTTCCTACGAAAAAATAAAATAAAAATAAAAAATGCACACTTAATAATCTTAGTTATAATTTTTAAATAATGAAATTAGTTAAAGTCAAAAATTTAATGCAACATTAAATGTTGTATAATTTTTTAAACATAAAAATAAAAAAATAATAAAACTTACTATTTATAGGTTGCATTAAATTATTTCCTATTTTTTTGCTACTATTTTTATTAAATGGTAATTCTTATTATATATGTATAGAAACCATATCTCTTGTTTCATATCTGACAATTTGGTATAACTGAATTTAATCATCATAATTGTTGCAAGACATGTAGATTGATGTTTCCAAAATCGTAGGTTTTTTTGTTATATATTTTTGAAATACTGAAGGTATGAAAATCAAATAAAACTATTTGGATATTGTGAACTCATTTTTCGTTAAAATGACATGTTTCAAAATCAAGTGCTTTGTTTATTAATAATCAAATTTTGTATCAAATGAATATGTATATTATCTTAAAACTTTTAATTAGAAAAAAAATTGAATGTATATCATATTTCAAGTTTTGCACTTTGGTATAACGGAATTTGATCATCAAAATCGTTGCATGAGCGACAGATTGAGGTTCTCAACATTTTATGATTTTTGGTTATGTATAACTAGATATTGAAGGCATGAAAAATAAACAAAATTATTTCTTATATTGTATAATTATTTTCCGTAAAAATAGTTGATTACCTGCNGAAATTAATTTTTTTTCCTTATTATTATGAGATACGACCAATACCAAAAATTGTGTAGAATCACATGTGTGTACATTTTGTAAAATATTTATACACATATCTTATTTTAAATTTATTTATCTAATTTTAAATTAATCATATTAATTAATAATATTAACGTACATTAAATATTTTTCATTACATAAAATAAAAAGAAGAAGAGTACTCTATAACTTTTATAAATAATAATAATGTCATTATAAGACAATAAATTTTAGAATAAACTAATAATTGAATATTCTATAATAAAGAAAAATAAGTAAAATTGTTCTTTTTTATAATAATAATAATAATAATAATAATAATAATAATAATAAATTTATATTAGTATAAAACGTTAGCGTGAATACATTACTTAACTTGCAGACTAGCACTCAGGTTTAACGTTTTGATTAAAAAAGAACACTGATTAAAAAGGGTAGAAAATGGATTAGTTCTATTATTCTTGGGGCCTAAACAGAGACGCCTATAAAAATTACTCAATAAACATCTCTGTCTCGTGCATCACACAAGTTGCGTACTAGTTGTATTTTGAAAATTAATAACAAATAAAAAATTATCTAATTTCGAAAACAAATTTATAATCTATATATATATAATTACTAGCTCAAAACATTAAAGAAAACCTATTTAATTTTACCTAGCTGGCACTTTTTTCATTTCCCGCCCATTTCAGTTACATTTTATTTATTTTTCGTTTTTTATTTTCTTCATTCAAGAACAGCTCAATTTTGGGAATGAATAAATGCATAAACATGGAAACAAAACAATTCTGCCATTAATTGGAGTTATTGAAAATGTTCACATATTTTTTTAAACAATTAATTAGTCTGCTCAGTATATTATTTTGTTATGCATAGTATCTTGAAATAAATTAACAAACAACAAATAAAAATTAAATAAAAGAAAATACAACCAACATAAAAACAAATTATAAATGAATATAAAATTCAAAATCTCCTTCTCAGCAATAGTGTTTGCAATGCAATTCCTGCAAAAAGAAAAGAATTACATATCAAATAAGTAGTAATTATCAAATTAAAGCTGCAAATCATAAAATATATGAAGCGTGAAATATAAAGTACAAAAAATTCTTGATGTTCAGTCAAAGAAAATCATGATATAGACTTAATTATTAAAATTTAATATCCATGATTATAGCACATTTTAAATATGCCAATTAATATTAAATAACAAAAAGTATCTTGAATAAGACTTTTGGAGAATTAGATTTTCCAAACACAATTCCAGGCGGGAAAATGAAATTGAAAAAATTGAAGAATTTTGGTATATAATCTGAAAATTAACTCTCATAATAATTAAAAAGTAATAGTGCTATGCTAATTTAAAAAAATTGTGGCTCCAAGAATCATTTTGTAGACATAATTATTCTGTAGACAAATATAATATATATAATATACTATCCATGATTATTGCACAATTTATTCCCATTCTCATTTTCTCAATCAATCAAATTTATTTCTATTAATTGCTCCTATTAAAAATTTTCCATATAAATATGATTAAAAAAACTAATGTTATGCTGTTAAACAAACTTTTAAACATTAGAAGTTCTAAAGGCTTATACAAAATAAAGAAACATATAAATTTTGTCCCCATACCCAACTTTCCCCTTTATCTTCAGATCTCAAAGTGATGCAAACAACAATAGCTAAAGTTCTTATGGCAAATACCAAAGTCGTGTGACAGTTTGCCACCAAAAAGCTATGATTCTCCGAAAAAATATAATGATCATTCATTTGTAATTCAAACAGCCCATGCACTTAAAACTTTTCCAGTCATAACCAAAATCCCACGTGTGAATCAAAACAAAGCTACACAAACAAACCAATATAACAGAGGCATTAAAAAATAAAAAGGACAAAAAAAGAAAGACCTTGATAATTAGCAATTAGCAAATGCAAGGTTTTAGACTTAAAGTTAAAAGCTGGAACTGAAACATTAGAAAAGAATAAGTTACCAAAAACTATTGAGGATCGGGCTTCGATTGCTTCGAAAAACGCTTCATTGTGACAAGCCTGGTACTCCTAACAGTTTGCTGCTGAAAGTTCTGCAAGTAAAAAAAAAAACATGAAAAAAAAAAACGTTAAGCCTAATAAGACCTTAACAGATCTGCTAATACCTTCAAAAATTTGTATTAATTTTAACACATAAAAAAATTTAACACAGAAAAAAAACATAGAAAATCTTTACACATCTGTTAAGAACATTGTCTAAAACGTCGTAAACTTTTTGGAAAATCAAACAAAATCATTTTTTTTCAAACAATTAAAATTAAAAACTTTACATTATCTTCGGATCTTCACAAATCTGTTAAGAACATTGTCAAAAACGTTGTAAACCTTTGGAAAATCAAACAATTTTTTTTTACAGCACATTAAAAAAAATTGAATTAACTTCAGATCTTCACAGATTTATACTTTTATCGCCCGATTCGAACCAAAATACTATCACTCAGTATTTCAATTTTGTATAAATGGGTCGATTTCACTTTGTCGATCTCTCTTTTTGGTCGAAAAAAGAAATTAGGTGTTGTTTCGACATTTGTTTGAAAAAAGGGAAAAGAATCGCCAAAAAAAACTAAATTTTCGGTCAGATCCTAGGCGATTTTGAATTACGAAAAGTCGAATATTAGGGTTTTAGAAGGAGAGAATATGGGAGAGAGATGTGCGCCGACAAGAGTCGGGTGTGAAATAGCGAGACTTCTTCAGATTTTTTAGGGTTTCTCGCATTTTAAATTAATTCTCGAACGGTCATTTGCACGTGTCACAGAATTATTTGTCATTTTATACGTGTCACATAAATCTCCATTTCAGATTTCTAGAGGGCCCTATCATTTGGGCTACATTAGTTTTTCTTTTTCTTTTAAAAGAAAACAAATAACAATGTACTTAATACAAATATTGTTATATTAATGGCCCAATCTTCATGCTTTTCAACAAATGAAATTGGTCTCGGATTTTTTAAATTCCTGGCCAATAACGTTTAATATCAGATATAGTACCCAAAAAATATTATTACAAAAATTGACCACAAATATTTGCAGTACAAAAAATAATCATCTAACCAAGAAAAACCATTACATGTATAAATTTAATACATATAATAGTGATTGTTATATTAGAAACTTGATTTTTTGCTTCATTTTCATTTTTCACAAATGTTTAACATATTGAGTTTGACATGATTAAATTTATAGATGTTGTATCTTATATTAATGAGTATGTTATGACTTTTACTATTTTTGTAACTTTTATTATTGTTTTCTCTATTATATAATTTTTCGTGCAAATGCACGGGTTAAAACTAGTTTGACTTATTTTTGCGTTTTATAAATTTTTCGTGCATTTGGGATATTTAATGGAGTAATTAGCGATAGCAAAAATATATTCAAACGGTTATTACAAGGGAATTGCTTTAAATGATCCCTTATAATAAGATACTTGCATTTATCAAAATTTGCAGTGTCCCAATCAAATAAACACATTTATGGTAGGACATACCCAATAATCCTAAATCATTTAATTCTCGATTTCACATTGAAAGGAAGAATAACAGGTCGGATCATGTTCAGATTGCGGCAATAATTTCGTCCACATTCTATATTTCATGCCTACAAAAGAGAGCAAGCAGCATATCTACAAGTCATTGTTGCATAAAACTAAAAGGAGAAAAAATATCACCCAAAACAAAGATGGACAACAAATTTTGTTCAAATTTGGCCATCCTTACACTTTTTGCCGTCTTGCAATGTCTTTCAACAATGAGTTCAGCAGAGGATTTCGATTTCTTTTATTTTGTTCAACAGGTAAATAATTTTTGTTGAGTAGAAAAACTCTTTTTTCTAGATTACTTGTGTTTGTGTGAGGGTATGTAAATTTTTGTGCAATTAAAGTATTTATTTAACTATATAATTTTCATTTTTTTTCTACACAAAGTTTGTAAATTAACTATTTAATTAGTTTAGTTTGAATGTAAATGCAGTGGCCTGGATCATATTGCGACACGAAGAAAAGCTGTTGTTACCCGACGACCGGAAAACCGCCATCGAACTTTGGCATCCATGGACTTTGGCCGAATAATGAAGATGGCTCTTACCCTTCAAATTGCGATTCAAACAATCCTTATGATCAATCTAAGGTATTTTTATTTTTTTCTTATTTGGTAATTAGAATTACAAAAAACCAAAGTTTTACTCAATTACATGAGAAATCATAACTTGTATACTGTACTATTGTTATGAGGCGTTTTGTTAATTTTAAAAAAATTCTTATTCTCTTAGAAATTCATATTACCTTTTTGTATATAATCTTCTAATATGTCCAAAATCCTTGTTGGAATTTTCATTTGTAATTTGACAAGATAAAACGAGATATTGTAATGAATCCTTAATGATTATTGCAAAATTAGTGAAGATGAGAGAATATGCAGATATCAGAATTGATAAGCAGAATGCAACAAGATTGGGCAACTCTTGCCTGCCCAAGCAATGATGGGACCAAATTTTGGAGTCATGAATGGGACAAACACGGGACATGCTCTGAGCCTGTTTTGGACCAAAATGCCTACTTTAAAGCTGCTCTTAACCTCAAGTCTAAACTTGATCTTCTCCAAATTCTTCGAAGTGCAGGTAATCTTTATATAGTGTAATATTTGTAAAGAGGGACGAGAACTATAATTACAATTTTTAAGATATTAATCTTACGCATGAATTATTTTTTGTCTTTTAAATATATATTTATAAATTCATATATACATTTTTTATTTTTTTTAATTAATTTAATTGTTCCATCTAAAATTGTTTGGGCTATATGTATCAGGTATCAATCCAGATGGGGGTTCTTACAGCTTGAGCAGCATAAAGAGTACAATTGGAGAAGCAATTGGTTACACGCCATATATTGAATGCAATGTGGATGAAGAAGGAAACAGTCAATTATATCAGATATATGTTTGTGTAGACACTTCTGCTTCTAAGTTAATTGAATGTCCGGTCTTTCCAAGAGGGAGATGTGACTCTACCATTGAATTTCCATCATTTTAGGCACTAAGACGGCTCGAAAAGCATACCTTACTTGGATTGCAATTCAACAAGACTAAATAAAATTTGGAGGGTTTATATTATGGTCAATTTGAATTGTAATATGTTTCTTGTTAGTTGTTGTATTGATTTACGACTACAAGAATGAGAAATCACTTGATAGGTGCATCAAGATGAAAAATAAATATATGAGTTGGTTCTACGTATATACTAATACAACGCACGTGAACTACTGATGTCGTGCGAATGAGAAATAAAAGAAGAGATTTCTCTTCTGAATATGTATTTTTCTTTTTAATAATCAACAACCTCAGGACTTTATCTCTCTAAAAGTCTTTCTCTCTCTAAAAATCAAAAATCCCCAATTCGACTCTTCAAACCCTCGGCCGATAATACAGCGTTGCGTTCACACTTGAGTTGGTTAATTACGGTACCGTCCCTAGTGTGAGGTACTGAACATACAGCGTTGCGTTCACACTACTTGAATTCAATTAATTACGGTACCGTCCCTAGTGTGAACGCACGGCTGAACATACAGCGTTGCGTTCACACTTGAATTGAGTAATTACAGGCAGGACGAGGTACTGAACATACAGCGTTGCGTTCACACTTGAATTGAGTAATTACAGGCAGGACGAGGTACTGAACATACAGCGTTGCGTTCACACTACTAGTGTGAACGCAACGCTGTATGTTCAGTACCTCGTCCTGCCTAGTGTGAACGCAACGCTGTATGTTCAGTACCTCGTCCTGCCTGTAATTACTCCACACGCAACGCTGTATGTTCAGTACCTCGTCCTGCTGTATGTTTAATACCTCATACAGCGTTGCATTCACACTAGGGACGGTACCGTAATTAACCAATTCAAGTGGACGGTACCATAATTAATTGAATTCAATTGTGAACACTACAGCGGTGCGTTCACACTTGAATTCAAGCAGGACGAGGTACTGAACATACAGCGTTGCGTTTACACTAGGGACGGTACCGTAATTAATCCAATTCAAGTGTGAACGCAACGTTCAATTAATTACGGTACCGTCCCTAGTGTGATCTCCAGCGGGACGCCGGGCGCCTCGACGGAGGCTGACCCATGGCTGCACGGATCTCTCCCTGTGGTGATGTCGCGCGTTTCTCTCCAGCCGGCGGGGTGGACGGCGGTCTGCGAAGGGTTATCGCCATTTTCCTGGTCGCTTATTCGGGTCGGTGGTCGTCGATCTCCCGGGCGGCGAGGCTGTGGCGTGCGTCGGCGCTTCTGATGGGTGGGGTCGTGGCTCCGACGACCAGATTGTGGGGGTCGGAGTCGAGGAGTCGTGGCTCTTCCCCTTGCTCCTTTAGCCTATGTGCGTGGGTTGAGGGGATGACCGTCGCGACAACCTCTGGTCCGTGGTGTGGGCTGGGCTCGGGGCGGCGGTGGCTTGGTGGGGTTTTGGGTTCAGATTCCTCCGGCTGTGGGTGGAGCCGGCTGCTTGGGTGCGGGGTCGAGTTCTAGGGTCTATTTCCAGTTAGGTGCTTTTAGTTTCATTTTCTGGTTCTCGAGCCTGTGGCGAGTTCCGTTCCGTATGGGTGGTCGCCATTGTTATTGCTGTCGTGGTTGCCTGGCGTTTTTCCGGCTGTGAGAAGGGCTTTATCTTGTATTAGTTTCTTTGTGTTTGTGTAGTGTTGTTAGTGTTTTGTTGTGTTTGGTTTGTGGTTTGTGTTTTGATTTCTCCTTTTTTGGAGGAGCGTGTTATTCTTCTATGGGGAGTTCGCGTTATTCTCCCGTGGGGAGTTTGTGTATTCTCCTGTGAGGAGCTTTTATTTTTCTTGTTCGTATTGTAGTGTACGTTGTGGTATCTAGGCTATCTTGGGTAGTTCTCTCATTCCGCTAGTGAGCCGGTTGTAATTATGTGTTTAATGAATGAATTCTATCGTTTCGAGAAAAAAAAATAAAAAATCAACAACCTCAAAAAAGTAGAAAGAAGCAAATAAATAGATTCCAAACCTACCTAGTTTCTTATCTTGCTAAACAAGTCAAATACTCATATTAATAATAAAATAAATAATAATAATAATAATAATAATAATTATACTAAATTGATGATGCTCTCTCCATCATTCTCCACTTGTCGAAAAAGGATACGCCCTCGAGTTTGGCACGACCTCGGCATATCCTCTGGAAAGACATCAGAAAACTTCTCGAGCAACGCGGGAATGACAGATGGTGGAGACTGCTCTTCGAGCCCGAAAGGCGCCTCGCGCATGTCGTCAACAAATACAGCATGAGACATAAATAAGACCAGGGAAGACGCAACCGAAGTTAATGGACGGGGTGGAGACAGATGGAGCGCACTGGACCGACCTCCTTGGCCAATCTACCCGCTGGTTGGGCGATTGGACCTCTGAAAGCTAGAGGAGCCACCGATGAACTCCCTAGATCCAAAGGATTAGTCATCGGGGTCATCGAAGTCTGGACTAACCTCTAAAAGCTCGACGGGGGGCCTACTCCCGAAGGCATTTGAAGACTCAAACCTCGTCAAAAGTAGGTTTCAAATCTCTCCAGGGATCTTCATTCTCCATGGATATGGTGTTTAGATGGCTTTTTGAACAAGAGTTTCCACAGACGATGCCAAAATAGTGTGCAAACGACCTCGATCGAATGGTATCTATTGATTAATCTTATTATTTTTTAATCAATTATTTTATTTATACTTAATTTGTTTTTACTTTTGTTTTAAGTGAAATGATATCAATAATTTGAGATTAAACTTCTCAAAAGTTTACAATCAATTATTTAATTTCTATATTATATAGAATTTTATTTTATTTGAAAAAAGATAAACTAACAAATATATAAAATTCAAAATATTCAAATTATTTTTCATGCACCCGTGTAGTACACGAGTGTCATACTAGTATAGATAATTCCAAACCTATTTATTGTTAGATTGAATATAAATTAAAATTTAATCAAGTCAAATGATGAAATAGCACAATTAATTCTCATAGAAAGGGTCATAAATATTTTCAATACATATATATAGAGAGATAATTTCAAACCTAATTATTTTTAAATGATTTTTTTTTTAAATTAAAAATAATAAGTTAAATGATGAAGCACGAGTCTGACCGCTGACGTATAGGTTCACCACTCGGATAATTATATACTACAAGGGATAGCCTAGTGAAATACTCTCCCGGAACCCGGCGCAACCCGTGGTGTCATCTGCACCGTCCGATCAAATCACAATCACAGATTTATTATGCTCGACCTCCTCTACTCCAACTCCACCATAAACCCTGGAACACATTTTTTGAAAAGATTTTGTTTTTCAGCATTGAAAAGAAACCTTCTCCTGTTTCTATCCCCTTCTACAAGGTAGCCCTGCTTTTTCTAACTCTATTGATGATAATTGTTTTCTTTTGCTGATTTCGGCCGGCTTTCATTGAGCTATTAAATCATTCCCGATCACCTTGCCTTACGAGTAAATTGATTCTTTCTATTCTGGGTTTGATTCAGCAGAAGCACCTGAATGGCGGGAGGTGGTGTGGCTGCCGGTGCGGCGGGGGCTTCCGTGAGAATAGTGGTTGCCGGAGATGCAAAAACGGGGAAGTCGAGTTTGATAGTTACGGCGGCCATGGAGTCCTTCCCGAGCAATGTGCCGCCGGTTCTGCCGCCAACGAGGTTGCCGAATGACTTGTACCCGGACCGTGTACCTGTCATCATTATGGATACCTCGTCCAGGTTATTAAGACAAGGCAGAGATTCTCTTATCTGTCTATTCGTTGTTGAAACTTAAGAGAAAAATTGTAATTGTAAGTAGGTTGTGCGTAGTTCACACATGTTGAAGGAGGTGACTTTGGGTCAGTACTCAGAGTTTGTGTGTGGTGTGTGCCTAGGTTGTTCTTTGAGATTATCATAGTTGACTCTTTTTTTCTCCCAAAAGAAAAAAAATAAAAAATAAAAAATTGAACTGTGCTGTTTCAATCATTTCCTGTCCATTTCTTTATGTAGTCTGGTGCTTCTTAATGTAGCCTGGCACTGGCAAGAAGCTATAAATGTTAAAACATATGCAACGCACATGATGAAAGAACTTAATTTGCGGTTGAGTTTGCATATATACTTGTTGATTCATGTCAGCATACTCTACATGCTAACTTGTTTGTGTATTGCTGAAATCGGAAACTTTTCTAGTGGAGTAAAATAGTTCTTTGATTTCCATTCTAAGATTACAAACACGTCCATCAAGTTATTGCATTCAGGTATCGGCGGTTATGTATTCCTGATTGCATCTGCGTATTCTTTTTCTATGGACTACCTGATAAAATTTTTACGAAGTCTGATGAAATCTTTGTTCACGTTTATTGGACTGTATGGTTTCACTGTTACTATTGCTTAGGTTATTTGTCTGACCAAATATTTTATTTATGTTGCAATCATGCTAAGTTGACATCTGATATATTGTTGTTGATCCATTTGAATGCAGTCCTGAGAATAGAGGGAGGCTTGTTGAAGAACTGATCAGAGCTGATGCAGTAGTTCTAACATATGCATGTGATAGACCTGAAACACTTAATAGATTAAGTACTTACTGGCTTCCTGAACTTCGACTATTAGAGGTTCTTACTGACGCCCTTTAACCCTTGATAGGATAGAAGTTCTCTCTAGTTTCTGAAGCTCAAATGGTGTGGTGGTTCTTGTTCAAAGTTCCAGATTACCTTTTTTTGGGATTTCCTTGCGAATTCATCTTATGCATATTTTGGCAGGTTAGAGTCCCGGTTATTGTGGTGGGTTGCATGCTAGACAAGAGAGGTGATCAACAGCCTGTTAGTCTGGAGCAGGTTATGTCACCTATAATGCAACAGTTTCGGGAGATTGAAACTTGTATTGAATGTTCTGCTCTAAATCATATTCAGGTTAAATTAAGTTCTCTTTACCGATATTTGAGTCTTGCATGTCTCACAGATAGTCAATTGCACTGAGCTTTCAAGTGTACCAATGATTCCTCAAGCAACTTTACTTAGTTGTGGGCTTGTGGCCTGATTGTTGATATATTATAGTTACTTCCTCATCTTCCTTTGTTAATACAAGGAAACTTCATCTTTATTTAATAATTTCATATCCTTCTTATGGCTATATATGATAATTATGAATAAAAATTATTATGGGTGTTTTCTACTTGCAGGTTCCTGAGGTTTTCTACTATGCACAAAAAGCTGTGCTTCATCCCACTGCTCCACTATTTGATCAGGAGCAACAAGTTCTCAAACCTAGGTGTGTGAGGGCATTGAAAAGAATCTTTATTCTTTGTGATCGTGATAGGGATGGTGCCCTTAGTGATGCTGAGTTGAATGAGTTTCAGGTCTATTTCTTTTGACCATTTTAGATTTTTTAATTACTGTCCAAATGTGTTAGCATGATATAGGATCAATAACTCTCATGTTTTCTAGCCTGTCAATCTGACACAAATTAGTATTAACTGCAGGTTAAGTGTTTCAACGCCCCACTACAACCATCTGAAATAGTGGGTGTTAAAAGGGTTGTGGAAGAGAAATTACCGGAAGGTGTTGATGCTCGTGGTCTGACATTGACAGGCTTTCTATTTCTCCATGCTCTTTTCATCGAGAAGGGGCGTTTGGAAACAACATGGACAGTGCTAAGGAAATTTGGATATAACAATGAAATTAGACTTCGTGATGATCAATTGCCGCCTCCAATAAAGAAATATCCTGACCAGGTAACGTTTTCTCTGGATAAGTCATAAGCAACTAGTCTAGATCTATTGTTCAATCATTAATGATTTCAGCCTGTTTCAGCTATATCTTCTTTTAATGGTGCTTTGTCTTCCTATTTATTTGTTTCAGTCTGTCAAAGCCTGGCAAGTTCCTAATGTTTTGTGTTGTATTATATTCACTACAAATAGATGTGTGCATGTTTATTTCTTTAAGATGGTGTACAATGATCACCTCCTTTAATTTTGGGGGTTGGGGACTTGTTTCCTCTTAGATTATGCACCTGTGGTCTAGTATTTCGATGCTTCAAATTAAGGTTTGAGGTGTCCATTATATTAAACCGTATTTTTTGGGTGAAAGTATAATGTGCTGCTTTCAATTTTAAAAAATGTTTTGTAAATGTTACGCCTTGGTCATAAAATATCAAAAGTTTGCTGCATGGTTACCGTGTTGCCAACTCTTCATATTTCTTGAGTGTTGATTTCCTTCCCATTCCTAGTTTCTAGAACTAGTTAAGAGAAACTCGGTGCTATATGTGAAGTCTCTTATGACTTTGAATCTGTAATCTATTTTGCTATGTATATGTATACATATTTTCTAACTCCGAGTTTTCATTTTTCTAGAGTGTGGAGCTAACTAATGAAGCTGTGGAGTTCCTAAAAAATATCTTCATTACTTACGACGTTGATTGTGTATGTAAAGCCTCTTATTACTTATTTAAAACTTGATATGCCATTCTTAAATCAGTTGAAGTCTTAAAACGTTGATTATTGGTTTTAATGATCTTTAGGATGGAGCTCTTCGATCTGCTGAGCTTGAAGATCTGTTCTCTACCGCACCTGAAAAGTAATATATTATGTTTGACATCTTGACACTACTTTTGTTTATATCAATAGAATGACATTTAATCCCAAAGGTGCTTTAACTTGGCGATCATTATGAATTTCAATTCTAACAATCTTTTATGAACATGAAGAGCCTCATGGTTTCAACCTATCTTTATGGCAATTCATTGATGTTTCTTCCTTGT